GAAAAAGGAGACGTTGAAAATACTAATACAAAGAGGCCAGAAACTAAAGGCCACATAGTGTATGCTTCCATTTCTATGGAATGACCAGAACGAGCAATCCAGAGTCAGAAAACAGATTGAGTTGCCAGGCCATCTAAGGAGAACTGGAGAGTATAAAATGCCCACCTATCTATTTGAAAGATGTTGAATGAAGAGTGAAATTTAGGGGGCAATTTCACTTTTGTGGTATTATATTAATTCTTTTTCCTGGGCCTAAGTTCTGTTGTTTTTCCCCTATTAAGATTCATCCTAAAACCCTTCCCTTGACCTCTAGAAATAATATTCTAGCAGTTGCTTTAACTCCTGTTTCCTTTCTCCATGTCTTTCTTTAAATCTTATTAACATATAATTTGCCTTCCATAAAATCCTCCCATTTTAGTGTACAGATTTATTTGAGTAAACATACAGTTGTGCACCTGTCCCCACCCACCTGTCACTGGAATATGTGGCCTTTTCTATTTGGCTTTTTATTTTTGCTTAACATAATGTTTTTGAGGGTCATACATTTTGAAACAGCTTATCCACAATCTATTCATTTTTCTTGCTGTATGCAGGTATTTTTATCGTAATGATGGTCTAGTTGGGAAAGGAAATAGAGATGTTCCTATTTTGAAAATTAAAACATAAAAGTGCTTTTATGATTGCCTATCAGAAAGACCCTACCAAGTCTTCTGGTATCATGAAAGACCCCCAAACGGCAAACTGCAACCAAATGATCATTACATTTTATAAAGACATTCTTTTGAGCTATAACTAGGAAAAAATTACTGTTTTCTATACTTTTAAGAGAATCAGAACAAGCAAACTAGGTAAAAAAAAAAGCCTCTTAAATGTTTCTGAGTACTTCTTTTGTTTCATTATTATATTCTTTTTTGTGTGTGTGCCACAAGTGTTGATATCTTATTGAAAGTACCTTAATACATAATTAATCACTCTGCAAGCTATCAGATGCTAGTTTCAAAAATAAACCAAATTTATATATGCAAGATAAGGCTAATTAGTTAAGTTCACAAAAAAATGTAATATCCGGTTTTTAGAACCAAATGTGCTCAAGAAAGTATTTGTGCTTTTAAATTAGGAGAACAGCTCTGTATTTAATTAGTCTTCATTTGAGTATGTAATCACTTTAATTTATTTACACAAACACAGGACATTGTGCTCCATCAGCAGATAATGTTCTTCATTAACAAGAGGAGGAACTTGGTGCACAGGGGCAGAAAAAATATTCCCACCTGTCATGCCAAATCAGAACTGCATGCCATTAGATGTCATTCTTCGGTTTTTATGGGCACCATTCTGAGATATGTGAGATATAGTATACCTTTGATTTAAGTACTCTGCCAATACCTGGAAATCAGCAATTTAAATATTTAATGTTTCATTTTACTTATTGCTCAATTATAAAATGGATATTTAATTATCACTGAACAAAGTAACTTATTGAAATTCATGTAACAGTAATGTATTACAACTCAATAACTCAGATGATGAAGCAGTATTAATTTAAAAAAAAATCAATTCTTTATGGGTGGTAAAAGTGGTAACAGCTCAGCTTATGGGGGAGTGATGAAGATAGGCTTTATGACTACAAATAAGTACTATATGCTTGACAAGCTAATGACAGATCACTCTTACCAATTCATTAAAGCACATGAACCGATTCTTACTGAAAGCATTTCCAACAAGCCTGGATATCTTACTGCTACTCCTTCCCCCAAGAAAGAATATATTCCTAAATATACTCTAAAAAGAAAAAAAAAAAACCTCCAAAAACCAAAAACTTTTGTTAACTATCTGTTATTACTATCTTTGAAAAGGCATTTGTTTTTGTCTGGCTCCAAATGTTTCATTCCTAAAGTTCATATTACTAGATATAAATTGAGAAATAACTTAATTTCCAAATAGGTTATTTGGTAACTAATAGTTGTAATTTGATGGGATATCACAAAATAGGTCAGTGGACGGCTAGTAGAAGACAGCTTTAATTTGGGGGGATTATTTGGGTAGAAGGCTTGTTCTAGGTAGCATTGTGAAGGCTCAATTGTTCATCTTTCTAAGTAAGCTGCAGTGCTACTTTTATAACAAAAGGCTAAACACTGGTTTTGTTATACACACACACATATATGTATTTTTTTTTTTTTTCACCCCACTTAGGGCAAGGAAAGCAACCTGTCTGAGTCATTCACTTCATGCAATGTGCTCTATGTGACAACAGGGTGACTGTGGTCTTGATTCCCCATAATTCTTACCCCTGTATGGTAAAATTTTAACTTCTCTTTTTGTCCAAAGTTTTAAATTCTTCCATTTATATATTTTTTAAAAATTACAGATAATAAAAACTCTCTTTTTTGTAGATAATAAGTACTACAAGTGTAATTGCCTAATTTTAACTTTAGGGACAACTGATTTTACTTAGCTTTGGAGCATATTTGAGTTGAAAAAGTAATACTAAAATACAAATTTGCAAATACCAAATGTAAATTTTACCCCAAATCATGCCATTAAATATGTTTAAAAATTCTTTGATTGGATGATCAGTATCCAAGGATAGTATGTTAAGATTTATAGAACTCTGCATTATCAGTGTTACTTATCTGGAAAACGTCTATTGCCACAAGCCTAGTCATATAGCTTTCGAAAACACCCATTAGTAACAGTAGTATAGCAAAGTCCTAAAATAAGCCTTTATAGTCCCATATATAAGACCAACTACATGTCCTTGCACACATGCAAGTGTAACACTAGTGTTATCAGCAAACTTGCCATTCAGCTCATTAAGTATAAGCTCTGAGGTGAGATATGGTGTCAATCATACCATAGACTGGTATGATTACTCAGTTCTGGTTACTCAGTGACAATCACTGGGTGAGCTTTTAGCTATACTGAAAGCATCTTTAGTGTTTAGATTCCTTTGTGCTTTTGGTATGCTCTACCTGGTACTTAAATGAAGAACTAAATCTTTATCAATGCTGGACCAAGGAAAAAAATGCCACATAGTCCTTTTTGAGACACAGTATATCAGTCTTTAATGTAGGTATAAATATGGCTACATATATTTTTAATTTAAGAGAGTTTTGTAAGAGAAATGTTGGCTATATACGACTCTTCATGTAACCAAGCAAACTCTAGAACTCTTGAATCAAATACAACTCCATTGCATAGCTGTTTTGACAGAGCAACATTTAAATATGAAATAGTTCTGTACCTTATTATTTTGGAGCTAAATAAAGACAACCAACAACAAAAAAAAGTCTTTACAACAATGATAGAAATTTAAATTTAAAAGTTATTTAGTTGGGGGTGGGGGAGATAATAATTAACAATTTCATCCCTTTGGGGAATTTGGCTGAAGATTAATGAACTTCAGTCTAACCAACAGTGAGAGAATTTAATTCCCACAGTATCATCTACCCTGTTCATTATAAAGAATTGGATATTAACATAAGGCATTAATAACATTTAACAAGAACTGAGTATATTTTTAAAAATGCATTGAAAAAGACAAAGATACTATTCAAGGCTTACAATAAAAAAAATATCCTAAAGCAATTTGGTAAATCTGAAAACCTAACCAAAAACTAATTATTAGCAAGTGTGCCTCTCTAGAAGGTTAAGAATAAAGAAAATCACATTTATGTGATGTTAGAGTCTAGAAATTATACTCTTCTTGTAAGAAATACATATTATTTACCTCAGCCTCCTTTTATGCTTTGAAAACTTGCTCTAAAAAAGAACTGATGTCAGTTTGGCATTTCTTTTTATTTGGTCTTAATGTTTCTTCTTCTTCTTTTTTTTTTTAAAAAGCAACATTTTCCTCTTTGCCTCTCTTATAAACATAACAGCTTTGTCTAGAATCAGAGTTAATTTCTCAACAAAAAGTGATCGGTACACACGCTGTAGTATTTTCCTGTACCATGGTTTCTGGCAAGAGGGCATGACAACATAAATATATTTAATACAAGAAAATAATGCAGAAAATATTTGAAAACTCAAATGCATTGCTGCTCATTTGATCCCTTTCCTCCCCCGATTCTATACTAAATGACTTCTATTCTTAAAGCTCAGATTAAATTGGGTGTTAAAATCAGACCATTATTTAAAAAAAATGAGACACAGAGAACAGTGGTTTAGCAAAAGTAAACTCAACAACACAGTTAAAATTAATTGGGAAAATTTTAATTAATAAGCATTCAAATGTACTTTACATCAATAACTGCAATACTGAAACTGTGAAATTTTAAATATTTTTCTCAAAAAAGGTGATTTTTTTTTCCTCTTGGGAAATATGGAGACTCAACCATAAACATTGATGTGACTAGTCCAGGTCACTAAGGGTTACTAATACCCAAACAAGTGTTCACATTTCATATCTGCAGTAAGATAGACTGTGAACTTCTTGTATTGCCCAATTTTAGAAAAACTCTATGAGATAATTTGCAGGAATGTCAACTTTCTGACGTGCACACTAATAAAATTCTACATTTGGATCACTTTTTTTGCTTCAAGTCCACCTGCCTTGAGGATACAGGCCATTTTTCTTTCTTGAAAAATATTTCTGCAATAAATCTGTATCTACTAGGACTGGGCTGGTTTTAAGAAAGATCATCAGGATTGTGGTCAATATCCCATGGTTAATAAAAATCTATCAAAAACATTATAATTTGCAAGGAAAAATGTTTTTGGTTTTTTTTTCCCCAAAGCTGCAGGAACATGAAGAAACACCTTTTGTTATCTGTATAAACACAAAACTTAAAGCTAGTCACACTCCAGGTAAATCCAATATAGTATTCAAAAGTTCTATAAAAATGAACAAAAGATACACATTTACTTCAATTGCTCCAATAGTCAAATGTAAATCTGCATAAGAGTTGCGCTGTAGCAGTTTGCTGGTCCAATTTAAGAGTTCAAGGTCCTTTTTGTGTATTTGGCCCACTGATGTTCACATCCCTGATAAACTCAGTTCAAAAGATGGAAATTAGGGCAAAGACTCCATATAACAAAGCACAAGGATATGCTACTAAAAGTTGCTGTCCTTCCATGGCTAATGCAGAAATAAAAATTTTGGAAGCCGAAAAACTAC